CAAAATTATTAACCAAAACTTCTTTTTTCTAAAGTCAAGAAATTTCTCTCTTATAGGTTCCGCCTGCCTTTTTCCGCAATTCTGCTCTTTTTGACCTAAAAATTATTGATTCGAGCTCAAAAGGCCTATACTCTTCTAGTTCAATGCAAAAAACCCGATCTAAAACGCTTTAGTTGAAAAAATTTGCGAAAAACTATGCTATTTGGACCCCTCCGGATTGATGAATCCACTGAATCAAACACGTTAAGTTCGATTTCTCTGTAATCCGGAAGGTTTTCGGTAAACGAGTCTTTAAACCTGTAGATTCACTAGTGGAAGTTGTCCGAACAACTATTTTTACTGTCCTAACTCGAAAATTTCAAAAAAAAAATTTGATTTCATAGAGTTCCGTTTTCTCAAAAATCGCGAAAACTCTGTTTTTGGTACAAAAACAGTTCCAACCACTTCTGAACTAAATTCAACCGGTTCTACCTATTATACTAGCACAGTTACAATGTTACTCACGTTACATTGCTGTTATTCAGCGCTTTTTTCCGTTTCAGAAAATATCGATTTTTCAAAAATCGCGATTTGTGAGGGATCAAAATATCGCTATTTTGACCCTAAAAACCGGTCCGCTTACTGTGTTTTTCATTGAAAAACGATATAGGAGTATTAATATAAGCTATATCAGTAATAATGTTAGTAATACTATACCCCATCGGGTTTGTTCAATATCCGAATCAAGGTGCTTAACTCGGACTTTTGCAGTTCGGTGAAGGGTCACTACAGTGCAGCACTGTCGAGCCCCCCACAGATTACTATCTTATTTTTTTGTACCAAAAGGGTTCAAAACTTGTTGACGATACCCAACAGTCGACTGTCGTTGTCTTTGAGCCCCTCTTTGTTGCTCCTTGTACTGCTTGCCGGATCAGTCTTCTCCCAAGACCCCTCCGGATTGAGCGCAAATCACCAGACCCTTCCGGATTGAGCGCAAATTAGCATTAACGTGCTTAAATACTCAAACAACCCTACAGTACAAGCCTCACAGTTGGGCTACAAAAATGATCGTAACGATCGTGATTGATATAAATGCCTGTAACAACAATATATCTATCAACAAAAAGCGGGAGGGTTGGATCACATCTTGTCTGGGGGAAAATTTCTACTGGATTTTTACTTTTTTACTGTTTTTGATTTTTTCGGTTATTTTTCATGTTTTTTGTTTTTCTTGGGTACTATAAAACTTTTTGTTTGGTTTTATATATATCTTTAAGTGTTTTTGGTCACGGACCACTCAGGAGATGACGGGACCGCGAATCCCCCCACTCTTCCTGGTTCGTGAATTTTCGGTCTTAACTAGGTTAAAAAGCTATTCATGGGAATCCGGAAGGCTTCCGCGTTCCGAACTATCCCTCCGCCCTGACGGTTTTTGCCTAATAAGGGCGTTAATGTGAGCATCCGCTCGGCTCGGAGTGCTCGTTAATGGTTCTGCCGGTCATGATGTTAAAAAAGAATAACACCCAGGAGCGCCATAAAAACATCTATGTAACATTCACCCGTAAGTACATATCGACGGAAAATATAGCTAAGCTATAAAGCGACTGGCCAGCGTCTAAACTAAGCTCTTCATGCTTTTCATCGTCTCTACCAAAGCCAGTTCTTTTGGTGGTCTTTGTAACATCGGGTCGACAAAAACGTTACTGCTTTCGTCTTCGGTCAAAACACTCAAATTAACTTAATTACATGCAAAATTAGGGAGTTCATGGCTGTGTCTCAGTATCCGCAGACCACGAGGTCACTCCTAAAAACAGGGCTATTACTACTTATTATATTACTATTGTTTTTGTTCAGTAGATACAAATCATCGTCTCCATCGAAGATGGATCATTCCTTCCCCCCTACTCCTTGCTTCTCATCCTTGCAAAATGAATTTGAATGTTAATTAAATTCAATTCAAGACATAACCGGGAAGCTAAAAATTTTTATAAAAGAGTTTCAGTTCAACTCCCGAGACCCCTCCGGATTCCTGAATCCGGGGAAATAACGTCCTTATCTTCCTTCCGGAAGGCTGTCTTCTACCCTTCACCGTTGTTGTGAACGGCCTTGCAACTATTGTAGCGACATAATAGTTGCAACTCGGAGCGGTCTCTGCTAACTCTGTAATTCGTTGTCGTTTTTCAATCACAATTCTCGTAGTTATCGCTATCGCAACAATTGTTGTTCTGATTTTTTTCTGGTTTTCTTCCAAAATGGCCGTTTTTGAGGCTTCTTAGAATTATTACGTCTTCACTTCGAACGTTTAAAATTTCAAAATACCAGAATATCTTGACCTTCACCGTTCGACTAATCGTCCCAATAACGTTGTTAATCTCTTAAAACCGTCAATTCGGAAGGTTAGCTGCTAAAATTTCGAATCCATCCAAACTGCAGTTTTGTCCATTCTGGTCGAATGTCACAGAAGTTAGGAGTACAGCGTTGATCCATCTCCTATGGGTTTGATGATTTTATCGACACGATTCGACCCGATTTTACGATAACCACAATGAATGGCTATGGTAGAGACGGCTAAAAGCATCTGAAGCTTGATTTAGGCGCTAGCCATTCGTTTTAGAACCTATCTTTATTTTCCGTCGGTATGTACTTCCGGGAGAATGTTACAAAGAAGTAACACTTCCCGGTAGCGGTGAAGCCGCTCCTTCAACGAAGACCGAAAATAAGAAACTGTTATATTTTAACTATTAGCTCTCCGGATATGTACCGAATTTAATTAAAGCGTATGATTTCATCTACAGAACGAGGAGTTAGAAAAGGTTTGATGTATCTCCGGTAGATAGGTTTTTATCAAAATTGACGTGAGAGAAACAAGTGTATTGAAGAAGCGAATATTGTGGTTGTTTTGGCGAAAATTTGAGAAGGACTTTGATCAAATGAACAAGTGCCCATGGAGAATAGCTTGCGATTGCACACTAACGATTTTGAAGCAAATCTTTACTATAGAACCAAAAATTGACCGGGAAATCCCTCGTACTATATGCACAAAAGCCCTACTAGTACTACTACTACTACTACTACTACTACTACTACTACTATCTCTGCTGAACAAAAATCATCAATATAGAAGAAGAAGAAAGAACACTTGAATTACTATACAATAAAGAGCCGAGGCATCAGTGTAGCAAAGTGTAAATAATAAAATTGGTTATAAATTCATTGGTTACATCAAACAAAAACAAAACATCAGAAAACAAGCAATAAACAAAACAAAAAAACAAAATCGGTCACAGTTCGGGTATTGGTTGATTAAAGTATATGAAGTTTCGGATACTATAGAAAAATAAAGATTTAAGAATTAGGAACAAGCTGGTAATAAAACTTTACAAACAATTTTACAGATAGTCCAATTATACAGCGTATATACAGAGTATATACAGTTTCTCTTTCAAGCAATGTGTGAAAAATTAAACTGAATTAAAACATATAGAACTAGCAAAAACGGAAATCACGCCACGTATTTGTATTAGTACATATAGGATTGTTTCTCAATTCACTCACGTAAAATTCTTTCAATTTTTTCTTGAATTCTGTTTTCGATTTTTCTAAATTGCGCAAAATTATGGGCAGTGAATTTCATTTTTTAGAAGTCAAATGAAAAAATGATTTTTGTAGAGAAGCAGTCGAACAATGTTTGTCAAAAATAACTTGTTTCGTTCTTTCGTTGAGCCTATAATTGGCAGGTGGTAGTCTCAGTGTATTTTCAAAAGCCTTCGTTTTGTTTGTAAGATATTGGTATAAGTATGTTATACACTTTAACTCAATTCTTTTCTCGATTCCAATGAACGATTTGCTAATGCGAAGAAGGGAAGAAGATTTAAATTTCGATCTGAAATATGTTCTTTTTAGCGCCCAGTTCAACTGTTTCTCTAGAGATAGCATCAAAGTAGCATTAATGTGTTGTAAAAAAATTGCTGAATAATCTAAATGCGATAAAACAAGACAATGAAGCAAGGCAACTAATGATAATGTCGGCAGTTGTTGTCCAATTGTATCAATAGTTTTAATCCCTTGGGCCATTTTTTGGAGAATTGTTTTGATTTGAGCATGAAAAGATAAACTTGAATCAAGAATTATGCCTAAATATTTGCATTCTGATTTTTTGGCTACATAATGCCCACTAATTACTAGTTTATCAGTATCCACATTTTTGCTATCATTTTTTTGACAAAATGTTATAAATTCCGATTTAGATGCATTGAGATTCAATTGGTTCTCTGCAAAAAATTCCGTTAGATTATTGAGTGATTTTTGCAATCGATTCAAAGCATCCTCAGAAATTATAGAAGAGGAAAAAACCATACAGTCGTCAGCATATTGAACTAAAGTACAACCTTCATATAATCGCTCTTGTATGTCATTAACATATAAATTGAACAACAACGGACCAAGTACCGTTCCTTGTGGGACACCTCGTTTTATTTCAATCCAGTCTGAAAAAATTCCATTGACGTTTACTCTTTGAATACGTTTGTTTAGGAAGCTAGCAATTAAAGCATTTGCTCCATTTGAAAAACCGAGAGAAAGCATTTTTTCAATTAAAACTTCATGCGAAATAGAATCAAAAGCCTTGGACAGATCTAATAAAGCTGCATGTACGATTTTTTTTAGAGATATTTGCACTTACGTACTATACCTGTTTTTAGGAGTGACCTAATAGTCTGAGGATGCTGAGACCCAGCCATGAGTTCATTGGGATTGAATTTTTTTTCGTCATTAGGTTTTTTCAGGGCTTTTTACTTTCGTCATTAGGATGTTTTTTGAATCAAGAGAAGTGTCAATAACAAGCTGGAATTTTTTGTTATTTAGAATAATGTCATCAAGTTCAAATCTGGAAACTTTGGAAGAAAAACTTGTTTTGTAGCTTTGACCTCTGTTTGTTTCATTTTTTCTTCGAAAAAAATTATATTGGATCTCGGCTTGAGTATATAACTTGCAGTTGGAAATGTATAATGATTTTCAGGCTAATGTCTATGCTAGAGTATCTACAGAAGAACTATCTTAACCCTCATCCCAAAGTGAAGAAAAAACGCAAGTCAGCCAAAGTTTCAGATGACAAAATAAAAATTATAGATTACAGTGACAAAGGTTGGAGTCTTAATGCTGACGATGAAGAGGATGTTGAAGATGTCCAACTAGATGAACTTCCAGCTGTTGCAGAAGTTGTCGACGAACGTCCGCCTGAACAGATTGAAATTGACAAATATAAAAGCAGTACCAATTGGAAACCTTTAGGATATAAACACGACAAAGATTATTTGCCAAGGAAGCGAAGTTTCAAAGATAGAAAAAATCCTGAATTCCTTGAAGAATTATCAGATTGTAAACACCGTGCAAGAGAAAGGAGTCGACCTGATTCTAATAATTCGTTGTCTTATGACCTTTTGCTGCCGAGAAAACGCCTTGATTCTAGTGATGTTTCACCAACACGAAAACATCATGATTCTCGTGACGTTTCACCACCTAGAAAACGTCATGATTCTAGTGATGTTTCACTACCAAGAAAACGCCATGATTCAAGTGACGTTTCACCACCTAGAAAACGTCATGATTCTGGTGACGTTTCACCGCCAAGAAAACGTCTTGGTTCTAGTGATGCTTCGCCACCAAGGAAACGTGATAATTCTAGTAATGTTTCACCACCAAGAAAACGTCATGATTCTAGTGACGTTTCACTGCCAAGAAAACGCCTTGATTCAAGTGATGCTTCACCACCAAGAAAACGCCATGATTCTAGTGATGTTTCTCCCCCTAGAAGAAAGAATTCACAAGCTCGTGAAACTATTGATAAGACACTTATTTCAAAAGAACCTAAAAGTGAAACTAATGAAACCATATACCGAGATCGTGCCACTGGCAAGAAAAGAGAGGTTAACAGAGACTTGGAAGCCAAACAGAAATTGATTCAAGACAAAGTACAGAAATGGAAAGCTGGAGCGGCACAGTCTAAACGACAGCAAGTCGCGGCTGAAGAAGCCGTCCATGAAATGTCGAAAGGTTTCACGAGACTAGAGGGTGACGAAGATCTTGAAAAATACTTGAAAGACAAAACGCGCGAGGACGATCCAATGGCAGAATATATTAGCAAGAAAAGTAGAAAAAAAGATAAACGAATTGAATATCCCAAGTTTAAAGGTGCTTGGCCTGCAAATCGATTTAATATCCCACCGGGTTATAGATGGGATGGAGTGGATAGGTCAAATGGCTTCGAGAAAAAGTACTTTGACAGTGTCAACAGCAAGAAAGCGGTCGCGGAAATAGCTCATAAATGGTCCGTTGAAGAAATGTGAGAAAAGGTTCGCGTATGGACAATAGGTTGAGGAAGAAATCAAATTCTGCTCAAGACTTCGTTTCATGTTAATTGGCCTGATATAGAACGAAGCTAAAATCAGCTAAGACGCCATGCCACGCAAAGCAGGGCAAAATTTCTTCAGCCAGACAAGTCAGAACTCAGCGTTTTAGATGGTTTATTTTTGATCAGTTATCTATATGATAATTCTCTCTAAAATTCAAGTGAGCGAGACATTTCGAGCCAAGTTTACATGTTTATGAATTTTCTCAATATGTACATATTTTTAGCTTCAGCATATGTTTACAAAGCTATGCTGTGCAAATAGAAGCTCTTCTACTAACTGGCTGATTTTCATACTTTTCCGCTTCAGGTTCTGCCGGCAATCTATTCATGATATTGGCATTAGATCGCAGCGGAAACCATATAAGTTTCTCCCTTTCCTCTATCGTCAACATACATCTCGACAAGTGTCGCCAAGATTCTCTCAGTCTGACCTGCTCCTTTCATAATTTAGCAGATTTTTGCTTTTATACTTTCAGAACGATGACGATTCACTACTTTTTTTCTAATTGAAAAACCATTGAGAACGGTTTTTTTCAAGAGATATCTGTGCAAAATAGTTTCTTTCTGGTCAATAAAAATCATCATTCAAAAAATGTTTGATATCTTGAAGTCATCGAAACAATAACTTTTTTTAAACTACCGACTTATAAACTTCGAACCAGTTTTAGTTTAGCTGAGAAAAAAAACAGTTCTGCCGAACCAGCTTTAGTAACGAACATAAGAAACACGATGTTATACGTCGAGATGAGTTCGGAAAATCGTCTCCGCTTCTCGCTGGTTCAGCGGACGTAAGATAATTTCCAGGCGCTCCAAATTCGTGATTCGTCTATCCAAGTTAACTGCCAGCAAGTTATCTATCATAATCTTGAGCGCAGATACACAGATAGGCTGAAATATTGTTCTAAATACCTATTTACCGCAGTAAATTATCAGCCGCCTATTTGAATTAACCGAAACGTTGAAGCTACAAAGAGTTTCAGCTCTGTGTTTTTGCTGAAGGCTGAGACATCGAGTTTTTTTTAAAATTTATATGCCTTTCTGATTCACCAGGTAGAGCTTTTCTTTTTACAGATTTTGTCTTGTCGCTTCTTTTGAAATCTGTTTTATCCAGGTCAATTCGCCCACGAACTCTAGAAGTTTCCTTAGCTGTTCTCTTGGAGTATTAATTGTGTACTCAGTTCCTCTAACGTCCAAATGTTCGTTGCCAGTAGCCAAATTTTGTCTGCATCAATGGAGCCTCCAAGAGCCAATATATTCACTTGACCCTGCACACCAACATACAGTAGCTCTGGCCCTTCGCCTTTTTTTAAGCAAGTGAAGCTAGATCTTGCAATATGATCTCACTCGTGTCCATCTTCGTTTCCAGTCTGTTCATCATTTGCTCAAATCGCTTCAACTTTAACTCCTAAAACGAAATCGTGCTGCCATATTTCACTTGAATTTTTAACTTGAATGGTTGCCTGCTGGCTCCTCCGAGCGAGCAGAGTTATATATTATTTTTTTCATCTTCATCTTCGTTTAATCGATTGCAACGATGACAGCAGTTTCCACACAGGTCACTATCCAATTCGTCTGTTAAATTGGATAGATCGACCGTTAGGTTTTCAGATTCCTCTATTGGTCGTCCAGGTTCTCCAGATTTTCTCAATTTAAGCAGCGGATCAATCTGATGTTGAATTCCAACACATCGTCTCCTTCAAGTTTCTGGCGCCAATACTCGTATTGGACAGTGATGTCCAGCTCATTCCTTCTCAAGCCGTCCAGTAGTCGATCGTTCCTCCCAGAAGCCATTGTCGACACCACCTTGATTGGACCTTGGGTTACAATTTCTCCAGTATGGGTAACACTAGTGTGGGCGCCCGGGTTTGTATTCATTTTATCGCCATTTTGGAGACCAAGCTTGTCGGCATTGGACAGACATGCTGGTCAACGGTTGTTAGAAGAAGAGATCAGATCGTACTTCTGATCTATGTCAAAGAAACCCTGGAAGACGTGATCGTCTGGTAACATTATCGTTGATGGTTTTCCCTGTTGGCAGGAAACTCTCCGGAAGGCTTTCAAACTATTTTCTTCGATTGCGCGTAGTGGTTCAAGCATTTTTATCTTTGGGTTCCAAATTTTGACGTTTTTGAGATGGCACTCTAAACCAATTTGCTGTCTTCAGGTAAGAGAGATTCAATGTCTTCTTTCAACATAAGATGAAAAACTTTATCATACAGATGCATAGCGGAGCTTCGCAACAAATACGATACAGTTAAAACATAAAACTGTAGATTAGCAGACAGAAGTTTAGACAAATTAGAAACAAAATCGAAGAAATATACAAAATCTATCGAAAAAAATACATCTACAAAAATTTCAAAGATTTGTCACGAAGGATATTCAATTTGAAGAAAACACATCGAGCAACAGAATCACCAACGTTATAAAAGCGGTCAAAATCATGAACCGAGCTGCAGCCTTGGCGAGAAAGAATCAGAAGGCCACAAGTTGAGCCGAAATCAAAATGTTATACACAACTAAGAACTAAAAATTTTGTAAAAATTAGTCGATGTATGAAGTCTTTCAGAAAAGGGAGAATACTCATTGAAATTATCATCAGAAAAATGTTCATCCAGCTGGCTCAACGCATTACCGCTGGATGGGTTTAATGTCTGTTTAACAAAGGCTGAGTTCCGAGACAGATTTGCACTGAAATGTGGATGGGAACCAAGTAACCTCTCGCAGAAATGCAAATGTGGTGAGCGCATCTTCAACCACTCGAGGGAGAAGCCTTTACTTACAAAACTCCTAGAACTGTTGATGAAGCAAGATTCGATAATAAAGCCAATAGATTATGGGAATCTCGGTTCAGTAAAATTTACTTTGACATGTAGGTTTTCAATTCACGTGCCAAAACATGCTCACGAAAATCGAAGTAGTTTACAAAAATCATCAAAACTCAAAGAAGCTGATATACGAGCAATGAATTGCAATGTTCTTGAAGTCATCGAAACAATAACTTTTTAAACTACCGACTTATTTACTTCGAACCAGCTTTAGTTTAGCTGAGAAAAAAACCAGTTCTGCCGAACCAGCTTTTGTAACGAACATGAGAAACACGATGTTATACATCGAAAAGAGTTTGGAAAATTGTCTCCACTTCTCGCTGGTTCAGCGGACGTAAGATAAGTTCCAGACGGTCTAAATTCATGATTCGTCTATCCAAGTTATCTGCCAGCAAGTTATCTATCGTAATCTTAAGCGCAGATACACAGATAGGCTAAACTATTGCTTAAATTTTGTCCTAAATACCTGTTTACCGCAGTAAATTATCAGGCGCCTATTTGAATTTACCGAAACTTTGAAGTTACAAAGAGTTTTAGCTCCGTGTTTTTGCTGAAGCCTGGGACACCGAGTTTTTTTTAATGTATCTGCCTTTCTGATTCACCAGGTAGATAATTTCTTTTTACAATTTCTCCGTCTACCTCTGCCTCAGATTTGTCTTGTCGCTTCTTTAGAAATCTGCTTTATCCGGGTCAATTTGCGCACTGAATCTAGAAGTTTCCTTGGCTGTTCTCTTGGAGTCTATGCATTGTGTACTCAGTTCCTCTAACGTCCAAATGTTCGTTGCCAGTAGCCAAATTTTGTGTGCATCAATGGAGCCTCCAAGAGCCAATATATTCACTTGACCCTGCACACCATCATACAGTAGCTCTGGCTCTTCGCCTTTTTTAAAGCAAGTGTAGCTAGAGCTTGCATTATGGCTTCACTTGTGTCCATCTTCGATTCCAGTCTGTTCATCATTTGCTCAAATCGCTTCAACTTTAACTCCTACAACGAAATCTTGCTGCCATATTTCAGATTTTTAACTTGAATGGTTGTCTGCTGGCTCCTCCGAGCGAGCAGAGGTATATAATTACGTTTTCCTTTTTGTCTTCGTTCAATCGATTGGAACAATGACAGCAGTTTTCACCCAGGTCACTATCCAATTCGTCTGTTAAATTGGGTAGACCGGCCGTTAGATTTTCAGATTCCTCTTTTTGTTGTCCAGGTTTTCTCAATTTAAGCAGCGGCTCAATCTCATGTTGAATTTCCAACACATCGTCTCCTTCTTTCTGGCGCCAATACTCGTATTGGACAGTGATGTGTAGCTCATTCCTTTTCAAGCCGTCCAGTAGTCGATCGTTCCTCCAAGAAGCCATTGTCGACACCACCTTGATTGGACCTTGGGTTACAATTTCTCCAGTATGGGTAACACTAGTGTGGGCGCCCGGGTTTGTATTCATTTTATCGCCATTTTGGAGACCAAACTTGTCGGCATTGGACAGACATGCTGGTCAACTGTTGTTAGAAGAAGAGATCAGATCGTACTTCTGATCTATGTCAAAGAAACCCTGGAAGAGGTGATCGTCTGGTAACATTATCGTTGATGGTTTTCCCTGTTAGCAGGAAACTCTCCGGAAGGCTTTCAAACTATTTTCTTCGATTGCGCGTAGCGGTTCAACTATTTTTATCTTTGGGTTCCAAATTTTGACGTTTTTGAGATGGCAATCTAAACCAATTTGCTGTCTTCAGGTAAGAGTGATTCAATGTCTTAAGTTTAAGAATTTTGCTGATCAAAATCACACATCTATTCGAAAATGCAAGCATTTTTGGCCGTACAATTACAAAAAACTACCCAAAAATTTTTTGAGCAGGAAAAGCAAAATGTAACCTATTTTTTGCTCCTTCCTTTAATGAATAAGCCATGAACCATGTCGGTTAACGTATTTTTGATTGAAATAATCTTGCTTTTACACTTAATCGGTTCTTTCAGTCTAAAAACAAATGGAACTTCATAAATCAGAGGAAAATCAAGCTCAACTTGAAGGAAATTGAATAGATAAACGATTGGAAATGAAACCAAGCAGATAGAGAAAGTTAACATTTGCACGCAATTAACCGAAGTTAAAATAATCTGGAAAACATTGACTTGATATAAAGCTATGGGTCTATCAGATATTTATACTCGTCTACCTTCACGTTTCTTTGGCTCCACAAGAAATATTTTTTCGACCAGAAATTTATGCTGACAAGTGCGAAAAACACAGGCGGAAATCGCAACTTGTATGGCGAGGGAGATTCTTTGCCACAGAAAACTACAAGTCTAGGTGGCTCGTTACAAAAGCTCATCCTCTTTCAGAGCTTAACTTGCTAAGTCTTAGTTTTATAGCAGGTGAAACCCTCAACTTCGAAGAACAATAGTTGAAAAAGATATCCATCGCTAATAAAGACTTCAAGAAATTAAATATCCTGTGAGTGCTAAGAGGATATTAAAACTTCCCATGTTCAATCTTAAATTTCTTTAATCTCGCTGGTTCAGCGGACGTAAGATAATTTCCAGGCGCTCCAAATTCATGATTCGTCTATCCAAGTTAACTGCCAGCAAGTTATCCATCGTAATCTTG